TTCCAGTAGTCCGCCCTTCTTTTCGGTCCTTTCACAATATACCGACGCCCAGGCCTGGGTTTTTTGTTAGGGTGTGGTATATGTGATTTTGAGGCACCTGTTGTCGAAAGACTTGTATCTTCATTTTGAACTGTCTCTACATGAGAGTCATGAGAAACATTCGTTGAAGGCACTTCTTGTGACTGTGATTGCGCACAATCAATTGATCGCTTCATCAACTAGCTGTAAATATCACTCATTTGGTACAGATCAACAATTTCCACAGAAATAATAAAAGGGAATAACCATGGCCTAAACTCCCCTAAACCTGTAAAACAGGATTTGACATCACAGCAAAAGGAAGACTACTTTACAGAGAAAGAGACGAGATGAGTACCCGTACCTGATTCAATTGGGATTGAGGGCGTCGGCGTCTCAGGCTCTCGGCGATTGAGTATTTCAGGCGAGGGAGTCGCCGAGTCGAAGATGGGCAGTGGGCTCAAGAGTACGACTGACGAGTGACGAGTGACGACTGCGATCGGCGAATCTGCAACCGGCAATTCCTCTCTCAGGCTGTTGAAGCAGTCGAACAATAGCACAGGCAGTGAGGCTGAGGCAGACCGCAAGCAACACAGGATACGATTAGGTCTCGGTTAGGGTTGGGCTGTGATTTTTGAACGGAACATAAAAAATAAGAAAGGGAGGTTATCGGTCTTTATCGGTCTGGACCGATTGGAAATCGGGTAATGACCGGACCGGATCGAAACCCGAAATTCAAAAAACCTCGGACCGAAGACCGACCCGAAATCCTATCGGTCCGGGTTTGGTCTGGACCGATCGGTCCGGTTCGGTCGGTTTTTCCGGTCCAGACCTATAAATGAACACCCCTACCTGCACCAATGAATATATGTAACACCCCCTGTCCCGCGAACCCGGTTCACCGCGGTCCAACGAGCCGGAGAGGTTACGTAGACAGTTTTAAGGCCGTCTACAAGGAAAACCCCTTGTGTTGCTTGTAACAGAAAAACCCTTGACATACTTTATTAGATGATGAAAATGAATTCACTTAAAGAAATGTTTATAACGGAAGTAATGTAAATAAAACCATTAAGTCATAAATAACGTAAGTGCGACAAAGGTGGGTTCATGCCCAAAACGTTTCTCATAATTAAGTAAATAATTCATTCGGCCCGCACTGTCGTTCATCTGCTGCCCCGATCACCCAATCGTCCGGGTCAGGCTCCATGGTTCTCTTGCCTACCTGCGTATAGCAAAGGGAAAACAACGCTATACGCTCAGCATACGCTGAGTGGTAATCTAACAGTAGAACGCACAATACATTCACATTGTTATAAACATAATCGTACATGTACTAAAGTACAAGATACCACATACGAGTTTGATAAACAAGATGAATAGTGATAAACGTTACAAAATATAGAATAATGCAATGCCAATTAATTCATGATGCATGAGTTAGACTGCGCAGGGACCCCCTGCCCTTCGGTGATCATCCCCACGCGGTAGATGAGCCGAGGAACGCCTTGGTCATCCCGATGGAGACTAGAATGTGGGTGAGAGCTGAGCCCAGCTACCATGTACGTACACAAGCCCTCGTGATGAAAACCTGTTGGATCCCGCAGGTTCCTAGACGGGCCCACGGAAGAGGCGCACTGGGCCTGACCCCCTGCCGTGGTATGCAATGTATGTCATGATCTTAAACATGCGTCTAGGATACACATGATGGTATGAATGCATTGATTGGAGAATGAAGTTATATTCAACACATAGAATATATATTTGATTTCATATGAAAACAACTTGTTCAACATGGCGGACCTGGGTTCAGAACTGGCTGATAATCGATTAACCACAGCTGATAATCGATTATCATGTTGTGCAGTTTCTGTTCCCAAGTTCCGCAGGCCATGATAGTTGATTGTCTTCTCATGACAATCGATTGCCAAAGTATTTTGTTCAGGACACCCAAGTTCAGAGGGGCCTGATAATCGATTATAGCTATGTGATAATCGATTATCAGTAAAACCAGCTCAGACTTGAGATTCCGCAGGGCCTGATAGTCGATTATCACATATGTGATAATCGATTATCACGCTCTGCCGATTCCAACGAGAAGTTCAGTGCAGCCTGATAATCGATTGACCAGCTCTGTAAATCGATTATCATGGCTCGCAGCTCCACGTTTAGCCAGTTTGAATATAGTCTTTACGTCGGAAGTTATCGGGATGAATGTTATTGTTTTCACTTTGAATAAGCTATGAAATTATGGATTACCAAACGTTCATATTAGCGAGGCTATAATCGAAAAAAGTTTAGATAACGAATAACTATGATAATGCGGACACACGTATGTTTAGCCGGGTAATCCTGTGAATATAACGATGTGATTATACTACGAATTCTAAAGTTAGAGGGCAACGTACTCACCTCCAAACGTAGAGGTTAACAATAACGGTAGTAGATGATTGAACGGCTAACGAACAGACCACGAACAGAAAACGAACCTCCTGCGTGATCTTCCTTCTCTTCTACCTCCCATCTTCTTGCCGGAAACCACTCCGTGTCTGCTTGTTGCCTTGGCCGAATAGGGAAGAGGGAGATGTTGAAACACGGGCTTATCACGTTTTCGTACTAAAGCCGTGTTCGTTTTTATGACAGGTTTTGATAATGCCAAACTTCCATGAACGAGACACAGTGTTGAATGCACAAGGCGAGAAATGAAGATGAGAATAAGAGCTCAAAGAGACCAAGAACGAAGACCGTAGTTTTAGTGTTGTTGAGTCGGTCACAAATGTGATCAAGACCGACCCAAGCCTTACACTTTGGCTCTTTAGGCTAAAACCTTTTTATTGCATTTCTCATATCATAAAAATGTTTTTCAAACTCTTTTAAGACATTAAACACACTTGATGTTCGCCCGAACCAAAAACCAATCCATCCGGCGTTCGGCTTTCAGAAACCGGCGTTCGGCATTCGGTTTTCGGCGTTGGTTTTTGGCGTCCGAACCAACCAAGTGGTTTTCAACTTTTTATGATTTTTTTTCACTTCTGGGCACATTTAAATAGTTTTCCATCAAAAACACTTCAAAAACCACCTTTCGTTTTTTGTCGTTTGATAAAAACCATGCGAAACGGCATAAACTTGGCTAGCCGCGGTTTTTACTTAAATGAAGTGGTTTTCAAATCTTTTTGTGTGGGAATTGTTTTTGAATGCATTTAAATGGTTCTCCAATCAAAACATCATGAAAACCACCTTTCCGTTATGTCTTTTGGTAAAAACCACCCGTGTACGGCGTTGACTTGGTCAACCGTGGTTTTTACCTTAACGACGTGGTTTTCAACTTACAAAACTTGTTTTGACATCACAATACATTAAATAAGTGTTTTAAATACTTATTTTTTACTTTGGAGAACTTTGCATTTTTTGGTCAGGTTTCAGCGCCGGTCAGCTAGGCCATGGTTCTGGGCTAGCCATCTACCCAGCGATGGTAGATATCACCCATCCATGGGTAAGTGATCCCGGAATTCCAGAATCATGCCACCCAGCGATGGGAGATATTACCCATCGATGGGTAAGCAGCCTTCAGCCCAAATGATTTCCAGAACCATGCCAAACAGCGATGGGAAGTTCTACCCATCGCTGTTCAAGCCTTGGCCCAACATTATCACATGGCAGAATGCCCTTACCCAGCGATGGGAACCTTTACCAATCGATGGGAACCTAGCGATGGGAGGGCATACCCATCGCTGGTTAGGCATGACCGTTGTGAGTCATTTAAGGCTGATTCTTTTCTTGTTTGAAAGTCAACCTCCCACCCAGCGATGGGAAGCATTTACCCATCGATGGGTAGGTGACCGTTGGTTTCAAAACTGAAGGAAAATTGGCTTACCAGCGATGGGTAAGTCCATACATCGCTGGGAAAGCCAATATCCTGCAGATCCACATTTTAATCAATCCCATAAATCAAGCCAATCACCCCTTTAATTTATTGGTCCGTTGGAGCCTATTTTGGCACTATAAAAAGGGGTGTTTGGGTCTGCTTTACACATCAATTCACTTCACATTATTCATATTATCATTGCATTCAAACAACATCATTTTCCATAGCTTTCTAGAGCCAATTTGTGTGAAGTTTGAGTTGTTCTTGAGCGTACTTAGTTTACTCATTATCTACTCTTAAAGAGAGTCTTGTTCTTGAGTGTTTAGTGTTGTATACACATTAAGGGAAGCTTGTTTCCCTTGGTCGTACGAAGGAAAGGTATTTTCCTT